CATTATTATTGAATTTCATAAGTTCCACTTATGATTTATGCGCGTTTGTTCGCGGGAAAGTGAGCAAGACACGACAGTTATGGTATCATGATTATGGTTAAATAAGATGAAAGACATAATATAAAGAAATTAGCTACATCTATTTTCAAATTAAAAATCACAACACATGTATCATTCAGTGCGTTTTAAATATAATGTAAACGCAACTTGTGTAGATTTAAAAAGGCATGACTGTTTCATTTTGACGTGTATTTGTATACTTTTACCATCTAATCAATCTCAGTATGCTTTAATTTTGTGTCCCTAGACGTGTGCATCGCTAAAGGTTAAATTAGCCAAAGTCTTTCTTTGGCCTGTGCTCTGGAAGTGATCTGTTAATTCTGCTAAACTTTAATTAGCCTACTAAAACTAAAACTGAAACTAAACTATATAAAAACTAAAGAGAAATGTGTTCACAAAATAAAATCTAAACTAAAACTAACAAAATTATTAAGGAAACAAAATTTTATTGCAAATTTGAAAACGATATTAAAATAAAACGAATTTAAAAATGCAAAACTATAATAACCTTGGTAGTAATTAATGACAATTTGAAAAAATGTTGACAATTACATTTTTCCCATCCACTATTGAAGGAAAAAAGAACTATATGCAGATTTTGACTGTATTTCTTACTGTTAAAAATAGTTCCCTAAACAATTTAAAATAATCATCATTACTCTCATGATTTCTGAACAAAAAAACTAAAACATTAATTTTATCAAATTTGGTAAATGTGTTATTGTGCTGTCTGGTAAATGGTAAATTGCTGCTTTAATATATTAGGTAAACATGTTAACTTTGGCAGTCCTAAAAAAATTTATATATATTACTAATTATATTTACTACATTAACTAATTAACTAACATTAATTAAAATTTCAAAATGTAAGAAAAAAAATTCTCTATAATTTTGAAGAAAATCAAAAAAAAAAAAAAAAAATAATAATATATATATATACCTCAAAGAAAAACACATATTTTCTTTCTGACTCACATTTCTGTTTAAAAGCATGTTGCAAAACACACTGGGTGTGCTTGTGTCACATAAACCTTGTTTTTATCAGGACCGAGAAAGTTCATTTCAAAGGAGAGAGACTGTAGGCCACTACAAGAACTATTTACCCAGTCCTTTCCTAGAATTGGAAACCACTTCCTGAAGCAGATTTCTCTCCTGTTATTTTAAAAATACTACTGCACCTGATATACAGTAAAATTTTAAGTTTAAAAATGCATGGAAAAACAAATAAAAAACACACTCAATGTATTTTTTCCATATTAAAAGTAACTGATTAAACAGCAACCTGTTTACATTGGCTCTTACCTGCTGCTGGATTTGCCCATTGGCAGCTTGCACGCCACTACAAGAACTATTTACCCAGTCCTTTCCTAGAATTGGAAACCACTTCCTGAAGCAGATTTCTCTCCTGTTATTTTAAAAATACTACTGCACCTGATATACAGTAAAATTTTAAGTTTAAAAATGCATGGAAAAACGAATAAAAAACACACTCAATGTATTTTTTCCATATTAAAAGTAACTGATTAAACAGCAACCTGTTTACACTGGCTCTTACCTGCTGCTGGATTTGCCCATTGGCAGCTTGCACCACTATCTGATCTCCACTGGTTGTAGCAGTATATTGCTCCATCTCTCCTTCCTCACCTAATTTGTCATAAAAACATTTTTTTTTTTAATTATTCACTTATTACTCAGTATAACCACAACTAGTAGATTTCTATGAAAACAAACGATGTCTGATGTTCTCCCTAACTGCAGGTTTGGGCCAGAAGCCAGGTGTATTTTGAGACTGAATCTGTTTCTTTGTTGAATGTGCTTAACATTATGTACAGCATCTTATAGTACCTACTTAGGGCATGTCCGATGTTTTTATCTACACATACAGTTAAGGGCTGAAAAGTTAACAAGAAGGTCTAAATAATATATATTTTCGAATCATTTCACAAACCAATTCTAGGTGGTTTGTTTGGCAAACAACATTTACGTTACCCCTTATTATGAGCAAACCAAGGTAATTAAAATGGGCTGAAATTCAACCTGCTCTTTAATTAGCCCCAAAACAGCCCCATATTTCACAGACATTAGCAGGTCTTTCTTTTTCTTGGACTGCACTAACAGTATCATTCATGTCCAGTGTTTGCGCTCGCGCTCACTCCCTCTCGCATTAACCGATTTGATTTCTGTATTTTTCAGAATTAGTCATTTGGTTGGTCACTGACAAACCAATCCGTGTTGTCAGCTACAAAAAAAAAACAATCCTTTACTTTCAGTGTACTCTTTTCTTAAGACTTTTCATCAGACTCTTATTATAGAATTATAGATATTATTTGATAAACATTCCTTTTTATATTGGATTCAATTGCAATTTTAGATGTCACTGTCTTTGTGTCTCTGACTGTACAGAATGGGCACCCCGTGGAGAATGGCCCATATGTTGGCCACCAAACTGGCCCCTCTCCCAGGACCTGCTGCTTGCCAGGTTTGTCGGCATGCCAGTCGAGGCGCATACGGGTGGATGTCACAGAGGTATCCTGATTCTCATCCAAAACAGAGACGACAGGAAGACATGTTTGAAGATGACCATGATATGGATGCAGTAGAAGCCAAAATGAACTCTATTATTAGGTGAGTCCTTATACAGAAGCACAAAAGCAAATGCTGTCTTCATGCATTAACATTATTTCCTGTGCAGTGAAGAGAAGAAAAGGCGTAAAGCAGCAAAGTTTCACATCATCAAGAGGAAAATGAACAATCCTGGAGCCCCAGAGAGAAGACTAAGCTGGGATGCTATTCAGCAGATAAGGTATCAGTATGAATATGTCTGAAATACTTGATTCGGATTGGTCAATCACACAGCAGTCAAACATTTTTAAATAAGTGTATGTTTATAACCAGCATTCAATTGCATGACATGCCTGTGACTATATTAAAAAACTTTCCTTGAGTGATTTTAATATTTGCTAATTGGCTCTTACCTGCTGCTGGATTTGCCCATTGGCAGCTTGCACCACTATCTGATCTCCACTGGTTGTAGCAGTATATTGCTCCATCTCTCCTTCCTCACCTAATTTGTCATAAAAACATTTTTTTTTAAATTATTCACTTATTACTCAGTATAACCACAACTAGTAGATTTCTATGAAAACAAACGATGTCTGATGTTCTCCCTAACTGCGGGTTTGGGCCAGAAGCCAGGTGTATTTTGAGACTGAATCTGTTTCTTTGTTGAATGTGCTTAACATTATGTACAGCATCTTATAGTACCTACTTAGGGCATGTCCGATGTTTTTATCTACACATACAGTTAAGGGCTGAAAAGTTAACAAGAAGGTCTAAATAATATACATTTTCGAATAATTTCACAAACCAATTCTAGGTGGTTTGTTTGGCAAACAACATTTACGTTACCCCTTATTATGAGCAAACCAAGGTAATTAAAATGGGCTGAAATTCAACCTGCTCTTTAATTAGCCCCAAAACAGCCCCATATTTCACAGACATTAGCAGGTCTTTCTTTTTCTTGGACTGCACTAACAGTATCATTCATGTCCAGTGTTTGCGCTCGCGCTCACTCCCTCTCGCATTAACCGATTTGATTTCTGTATTTTTCAGAATTAGTCATTTGGTTGGTCACTGACAAACCAATCCGTGTTGTCAGCTACCATTTCCCTTAGAGCAAGCGCAACCCTTTACCGTTTTGAGCTATGCTGCCAAGTCACCATGTTTATCAAAACACTTGTTGCTCAAGTCTAGGCCTGTTCTTTTATGAATATTACTTTATTGTTAGAATTTGCAACAAAACTGGCACAGCTAGGAGAAAGCTGTCCTATCCTTTAAATTTGATAATTTTTCCCTTTTTATTGTTTTTCTGTCGCATGTACAAACTAAAAAGCAGAAATAAAAAATACAACATCAATGGGACAAATCAATTTATTTCTCAAACAAACAGTTCTGTTCCAAATATACAGAGCAAAAATAAAAGATACAAAGTGGGAATTGCTGTATATGTACAGAGCTTCACAACTAATATATACATTGATTTTGCACAGCAAGAAAACACCTCATAAATAAAATCACTGTCACAATGGAAATCATTTAGCTTTATATTTCATTTGCACTATCTTTTATTACCCCAAGCATGGAGAGCAACTCAATTTAGGAACAAGTATTAAGTCATTTAGGGGCATAATTGTCCTTATTTTGTATAAATCCTTTTTTTAAAAAAAAAAAAAAAGAAGAGGGTGTATGATCAGCTTGTAAATAATTAAGACAAATGTTTAGATGAATTGATTAGTGTGAGACGGTCCGAATCTGTACCTCATCTGAGTCATCATGGAAATCATTCTTGGGAGCTTCAGCAACATCTGTGTCCAGTGGTTCATCTATGCCGTTGGCTTCCGCATTATGTTGTAAGACAGAGTATCTGTGTACAAGGAACCTGTAAAATATAGAGAGCAAGGACAGTGGTTTATTTTATGTAATAGAATTAAATATATTCTATATGAAACACTTCAAATATGTGGAGAATAGACTGACCTTCCACCACAGACGTACTTCTTTACAAACAGAACTCCAAACACTACACCGGTCAGCAGGATGGCTATGACGATCGCAGTGATAGGGGCGGAATGTGAGGTAGATTTATCTGTCTGTGGATTACAGAGATACAAGTTAAATAGAGGTATATAAGTGCAAATTCATCATCTTTTTTAAACGCATCGTATTGTGAACAATTCATCTATGTGTATTATTTCTCTCTGACACATTAAAGGAGTATTGTTAGATTAATATCCTGGACACTCTTTTTAATACAATGACAGTGAATGTGGACTGGGGCCAAAAATACAAAAGCACTACAAAAGTAATACAAAACAATATTAAAATAATATTATAAAATTTGAGGATAAGGCTATTCTTTAAAATGTACATTTTTGGTTAACCTACTAATTTAACACTTGCGTATATATACACACATACATAATGTATAAATAAGTGACGTTAAAACACATTTCAAAACTCCTGTCTGAATGATTAAACTAGTAATATACAGCAGGCTAAATGCATTCTCACCAGCAGTTGAGGCTCCAGCAGGTTGCTAACGCATCTCTTGCTCAGGTCAATCACCCTTCTTTCTGGTTCTTTCCCTCCTTCACATTTATCACCTGGAATCTTTCGGTACCTATTAAAAAACGACAAACATGAAACCATCTGCATGTTGTTTCTAGAGCTTTCCTAATGAGTCAGGGACAAGCATGTGCTAACCAGATGCAAGATGAATCGAGTGAAAAATCTCAACTGTCTACTGACTAATGCTAGGACAAAGCATCAATCCTCAAGAAACGGAGAACAACAAAGAGGGCATTACCCATTGGTCTGTAGCAGTTCCTTTTTCCCATGGATGCAGATCTCCAAATCGTGGCCTTTGAGATCAGCCTGTTCGATACATTCTGAGCTGTTCTCTTTACGGTAATATCCAAAGTCACTATGGAGGACGGCAGAGAATATTTGACATTTTTGAAAACTTTGATGCCTTTCTTCGTAATTATACCAATATGTAACAAATCATAATCTAAGATCTAAATGTATAAACCTTTTAACATGACAAATGACTGTAAATGACTAGGGCATGGTAAATATATAATTATAAATAATATAAATACATAATAAAAAACAACATCTGATAACAGGGTGTTCACAGGGTTGTTATTATTATTTACTAAATCTAAGACAAAATCTACTGATTTAAAAACCAAAATAAAGTACATTTAAAAATCGAAATTAGTTGAAATATAAAGAATAATAACAAATTGTTAAGAATAACTAATAAAAGAATTAACATCAAAATTTCTAACTAAAACTGAATTGCTAAACAGAAACTAAAATATTATAAAGATGAAATAGAAACGTGTATAAAATAACTAAAGTAATATCTTCTGTTCCCACTCACCACAGGAAGTCATCCAGTGTACACCTGCACGGCGTGGGCTGCTTTGTGACTATGTAATCTCTGCCAATCCAACACACCGAGTCCTTTCTCACACGCAGGAAACGTTCCTTATAACCCAGCATGCAGCCATCGTCTGGGTCGCTGATGTCATCTGAGTGTGCCAGCCACTGAATGTAATCATTCTCCTGGCCTGGGAACCAGACAGAAAGATTAGTTTGTGCTAAACTGAATTATATAAAGTGTAAAATGCCTTGGATTTTGTGTGGTTCAATGAGAACTGGTCACTCACAGGTACGTGTCAGCAGGTCTTTAAAGTCAATGGTGTAAGTTACCCAGTGGCTGATCAAAGCATCTTCATAACCCCACAGACTGACATTCACTGAGCGGGCACCAGGCTCTGAGGCCAGCCCCGTGAAGAACATCGGCGTCTGGGTGAACTTATAAACATGCCAGCATTGCCCCTCATCAGTGGAGAACCTTAGAGACACACCAGCAGACAGTTCTACCCAACTTTTTCAGCTTTTTCATATGCAATTCAGCGATTTTATTTTTATTTCAGCTAGTTGCCTTTTTCATTTAGTTTAACATTTAACATTCATTTAAGTCAAAATATTGATTAATACAATAAAATCTGATACTAAAATGACACTGAAGGGGGTTGCTCACTTAATCTCAGAGATGGGTTTGGCTTCGTTGTGCTCCACGGCCACCAGCAGGCCTCCTGAGTCCAGGATGGCGTAATGGTGCGGCCCCTTCAGAGCCTGCAGCCAGGTGTAGCCTCCATCATCAGACACGTACACATCGGGAGTCATCATTGAGATTGCGTCACCTACACTCCCTGAAAAAGAAAAGTCATTGTTTTTGCAATTCTGTGGCAATTCTATTTTGTTCAATACTGCCAATTAAATTAAAACACTAAAATATTTCAGTTGGTCACAGAACGGAATTGGACTTTAGACTGTTTCTAATAGGTGTGTGTGCATTACCATGAGCCAATATAAGTCCCACAGCATTAGGTTCACTCAGAGGCAGCATGGGAACATTCAGCTTCATGGAGGTGCTGTATGAGGCATGAATATGCAGACTACACTGCACAGGAGGAAGACAACACAAGGTAAGTAAAAAAAAAAGGCTAAACAAAGACATACTGTTAGAGGTAGTCTTCTCAAGAATTTTAACTATTTGGCCACATGTGCCCAATTATTACAACTTCCCTTAAAAGTGGTTCTTACCATTTCTGGATCTTTGGCTGTAGAATCACACTTTGTGTTCTCTGGTTTCTTCAAAGGAACCCATTCACCTCCCTGATCAAACGATATTACTGTCTGTACTGAGCCGTCTTTTGTAGAAAAGAGAAATAGAGAGAAACACAAAATCATTTTAGAAAAGCCCTACCTAAGGTGAATTTAGTCATGTGAACTAACTGATTTCACATTATCTATTATTTACATAGGTAATTATATATACACTACCATTTAAAAGTTTGGGTCAATAAGATTTTTTTAAAGAAATAAATATTCTTATTTAGTTAGAAGTTTATTATACACAGTTATACACAGTTTATTAACAACAATTTATTAAAAGTGACAGTAAAGACATTTATAATGTTAAAAAATCTTATTCATCAGAAAATACTGAAAAAAGATATCACAGTTTCCACATAAATATTAAGCAGCACAACTATTTTTAACATAAGAAATATTTATTGAGCAGCAAATCAGCATTTCAGAATGATTTCTGAAGGATCTTGTGACACTGAAGACTGAAGTAATGGCTGCTGAAAATTCAGCATTGCCACAGGGTTATTATAGTTAACTAATATTAAAACCATATATAAATATTTTTTGTCACTAATGAAACTAATTAAAAATATTATTAAAATATTATTACTAAAATAACACTGCTTTGGCATCACAGATATAAATTACATTTTAAAATATATTAAAACAGAAAATTATTACTGTTTTTACTGTATTTTTTAATCATAAATGCAGCCTTGTTTTCAAAAACAAACCAAACTTACCGACCCCAAACTTTTGAACAGTAGTGTATGCAATTGCCTTGTCCAAATACCCACACTTGCGGTCTTTGCACTTGACCACTTCTATGACGTATTTCCTGTATTTGGTCCAGCATGAAGTGAGCATGAAGACCACAAGTGTGTGTAGAACTTTTCATTACCTGATGGGACATACTTATAATGTTGTAAAAATGCAAGTGTTTACAGAGCTTTATTTTTATTTTCAATACTTTGCATTTTAAAATCAACTTCTAAATTGTCTGATCAGTAGTCCCTATAACAGATGACACAATTTAATTTTGTGGTGCTGCTAGTGATAAAAAGCAGTTGCAAATGTTGTACAAAATAATTATCACCACTACTCATTTGCACCAATAAAACATGCAACTCTTTGTTTTACTACCAAATTATATGTAATATCTAATTATTATAAATATTTCACATACATTGGAAAGGTTTCCGTGAGCTCTCACGAGATCTCGGCAAAAAGTCTCACGATTTATTTCCACAACATGATGCATGATGGGATACACTAAGCCTCGAATACTGCTGCGGAGCGGTATTCGAGATCGTGTGGATTTAGTGTGTGTTAAGAGCACTGCGCTCTGGCGTTTTTAAGATCTGGGACAGTCTTGCGCACTTACTTCCTGTTGCAAGCACGCGCTCTCAAGTGGCCAAGACCGCAAGTGTGGGTATTTGGACAAGGCATAAGTTAAATATCATATGCATGCTCAAGTTTATATTTAGAAAGTAAACAGCAAGCTATTGCTGTATTGATATTGTTTTTACCCATATCGATTTAAAGTATACTAAGTGATACAGTCCCCCTGGAGCAATCGGATGTTAAATATACACACAGACTATAAGCATATGTCCGTCTTGTGTAGGATGTAGTCATACCCTCAACCAGCACGCTAGTAGTGAAGACTCCTCTGAGGGAAGTGACGTTCGTGAAATCTGTCTCGCCCCCTGGGGTCGTATACAGATGGCGTTCTAGAGACTTGGAATACACAGTGCCTCTGTCATCTGATACATAGATGGTGCCAAACCCAGTGTCTGAAAAAACCACACACAGTACAGTTAAATGACACAGAAACACTGAGGTCTATCAAGTAGCACAAATCAAACTGCTATTGCTATAAGCCAGTGGCTGACCAATAAAAGCCCAATAAAATGTACCTATAAAGCAGCATAGATAATATTATGATGGTTTATACAAGGTTAGGTTGTAATGTAACCACATGTATTTTGGTTATGGTAAAAAGCAAAAACTCACCTCCTGGTTCATCCACATGCATGAAGACCATTTCATCATTGGCTGCCAGTATTGAATAAAACTGCTCATGGCCGACAGGAGGAAGTTGTGCCATGTTCCACGTCTCACCTTTGTCTACCGACACATGTATTGCCCGTATCATGTCCTAAAGAGCATGCACACAGTTAACACATCACATTCATGCATTCATATATTCACAACAAACTCAGAAAGACCCTCACTCACACACCTCAGATGCTGATGGCATTATGTTTCCTGATCCAGTCATAACTGATGCGAACAGGAAGCGTCCGCCAATCCCAAAGGAGTAGATCCCTTCAGCGACTGTCTTAAAGTTAACACCAAGGTCAGCTGACTTTCTCAGCACCAGCACCCCTTTATCATCTGAAAACAAAAAAACACCAAAAAGTGAAGTAACATTACTACAGAAATATATGGTTTAATGAGTTGCTGATGCCGCATGGGCCGCAGTGGTGGCGTGCTGACTCAAATCCACTGTGGGATGCTAAATTCCAATTCAAAAAGCTTCCAACAATATTTAATCTAAACAATATTAATTAGCTCTTGAGCAACACCACTCGCAGGATGCTGCATCATCCCCTCTGACACTAGTGCAATCAACTTGCAAAAAAAAGCACATGCACTCATTGCCAAATATAGGAAACAGAAATGCAAAAGTGTACACTTTCACTCAACTGGGCTCAACGGTAAGATGGCCGCTGACAGGACCAGTGTGAGAGAGGACTGCGCCAGTTGACAGGACTGTCAGTGTGGTATCGTCACATTTGCGGATCATGTACTAGTGTTCATATGTTTTGCAAACTAAAACATTTGGTTTTTTGTCAATTCAAATGAAAATCTAAGCTAGCAAATAAAAATTTTAACCACTGGCTTGAATATTATATACATATATTTTTGTGCACTATATGTTATGAACTGATAGCTGTGAAATTTCCAGCTGTTACTGCAAATAATAACAATTAAATCTGAAATTAAAATTTTTGATTTAGAATAACTCAATTTCAACGCAGTGACTAACGCACAAGGATGTAAAACCAGAAATAAACATAAAATTGATACACACACACACATTCAAGTCACCACACCTTAGACCAACAAAGCTATAAATATTACTCACAGCAGGATCCGTTAAGGTTGGTGGAGAAGAACAGAGTATCCATTCCCCTGTGGAAAAGAGGAAGAGATAATTGATCCATGAGATTAAACTCAGGAGACCTCATAAAACAACAGCAGTCAAATCAGTTCACTTCAGATCAGTCATTTGTTTGCAGCATAATAAATGCAAACATGCTGCACGCTAAAATGTCAAGGAAGACGACATAGTTTGTGATCACCACACAAATCATGTTTTTGCATTATAAATAACATATGAACAATGCAACAAGAAGCTGGTCACATTGCGATTGATTCTCCATTAAAATTCATGGCATTGTTGTAACAGGATAGCTAGGATTGTCTGAACTCATATGGCGTATTGCTAAAATAAGACTTGAGGGAGTGACTCAGGTTGAGGAGTCTTCAGGTTGCCAGACTGCTGGAATATTACCAACAAACCAGGGTGTTATAGTTAACTAAAACAGGTGTTATAGTTAACTAAAACTAAAATTTGAAATAAAATCAGCATGAACTGAAATGAAATTGAAAAACATTTTAAGTTAGTTGCCAAAGGAACATTTCTTATTTTCATTTAGTTTCACTTGATGCACAAAAATAACTATAACTAAAACTTAAATAAAATTAATAAAAACTATTTACACAAATAAAAAAATAACAGTAAAAATGACAAAAAACAACTAAATTACTAAAACTTTAATTGAAATTAAAACGGAAAATACATAAATAGAAACTAATTCAATATATATATTTATACTATGAATGCTTGAATCTGATTGGCTGAGGAACGTTCTAAGGTATGCAGTTATTTTCAGGGAAACACATGGCTAAAGTAGTTCAAGGCAGGTCTTGACCACATTACATGTCTATAACACGTCGCCAAACGATTTCAGTTATTGTCTGTTGCGAGATGCGCTTAATCTCTCTCCCTTTCTTGCTCTCTCTCTCTCTTTATCTCTCTCTCTCTCTCTCTCTCTAATAACTTAGTTATTAGCTGCATTAGTCTGCTATCAACAGCTCAAGCCTCTGTTACTAGGTCTAAAATGACATTTTGGAATTGGCAACGGAGGTGTTTGATGAGATGCGCAAGAAAGTAATCCTACTCACAAGAGCGTTTTAAGGACTAAAACCTGATGAATGTCTTGAAATACAACATCTAAACAATGTCGTGAGGTGTGGTAACCATAGTATAAGTGTAATAATTGACTCTGGTCCATTGAATTATTAGAAATATTAGAAAATATTATGCACACCCGAGGTGTAACGGCCACTCCGCTTCGACACCTCGGGTGAGCATTCTTTTCTAATAATTCATCAGCCCATCGTCACTTTTTCCTTATATGTGACCCTGGACCACAAAAAACAGTCATAAGGGTCACATAAGGGTTTTTTTTGCCTCTCAATGATACTATAAAAATGATAGGCCATTTCATGCAGTACATTTTCTTATATTGGGTAAAATATTACATTTACAATTTTGTAAGACTTTTGTAAGAAATTATATTAGTTATAATCTTCTTTTGTTACAATTTAATGGTTTTAGCAGCTGTTGCCATTTTGCCATGTTCCTGCTTGTTCCAATGCAAAATCTAAAATGAAAAACTAGAATTTTTTTAAAAAGGTGTATCTTAATTTTTCACCTTTGTCTAATCAAAATCTTTTAACTTATAATCATTTCATAGGTTTCTTCTAAGTAATGTTTTTCATAAGTATCATTTAGCTGTCCTCAGTATCATTTTCTATTCTGGTACTCAAATGACTTCATCCTCCAGGAAGTGACACCATTTGTGGTAAGAAACAGCACAATCATCACTTTAACACCATTTAAAGATGTTTTGTGGTATCACACTAAATCATCCCAAACCCTCTGAAAAATAACAGTAATCTGCATTATAAATGAAATCAAATTTCAGATTTCCATTTCAAATTCAAAATTTCAATCACCCACATTAGCGCTTTATTTCCATTCTGTTAATTTTCTTGCCATTGCATAAATAATCAAGTTAGAATTGATAAAGTAGATAAAGTGTCTAAGCCTAACTGCTCCATTTCTGAAAGTGTACACTTATATTGATAGGCTACTTCCTTAAATTACAACACAATCATATTCTAAATGTTGTAATTTAAATATGAATATGACTTTCATTTTAAAAGTAACTGCATGG